AAAATGTGAAATATTGACACCTTGAAAATTCAAATATTGTTCATATATACCCATCCAGCATTCGTAATAATTATAATTCTTAGTCCGAGTTGTTTCCAGTTAAAAATACAATTTTCCTAATGATGCATTGATCCTTATTAAGTCCAGCTGCAGTCCAAACAGCCATCTCCGTGCCTCGTCCTGTGGCAGGAGGGGAACTCCAGACATGTGACTGAGTTGCCAGTTGAAGCGAGAGTTGTCTCCATGACAATGTGTGTACGTTTGCCACATCCATGTGTGCACACTGTACATGCAGATATCGCCAGACCTACAAACATACACATATGGAGCACACGGTCTATTTGTGCTCGGTGTGTTGGCCAACTTATGTGAGCCATGTTTGTGTGCATGTTTATGGCGCAAACTATTTGTCTGTTTATTTATTGATGCGTCTATTTATTTTTGTTTGTGAATGAAACAAGACGTTGGCGGAATTCAATTTTCAGTTTTGGGCTTTTGCTAAATATGATTTGCTGTCTTTCGTTATTAAATGGCATTCCCTAATTGCTCTCCATCTGGATATCCTTTTTGGGGGAGGATGGCCAACTGGGTTAACTGGAATTTCAGTTAGTTTTCTTTTCCGTTTTTCCAGGGATTTGTTATGTTAATGTTAGCTGCTTGGTCCTTGATAACAGTGTTGTTCCTCTCTGGGTATAGTTGTCAAGGCGTTGGTTGATTCTTCTTTTAAATGTGGCGCCTGCCAAAAATGTCTGTCGTCGACTGTGATGATTAAGAGCCAGGCCGTGGTACTGGGAAATATGCCATCTATGGCCCAACCTCCGAAAACAAAGGAGAAGCACATTATATCGACTTGACCCCCCTAAGAAGACTTCCAATGGGGGTCAATTTCTGTAGTAGATAATATAGTTTTCACCAGATCCCAGCCTGGCTGCTTCCTCCTCCGGGAAAGTCGAACCCTGCGAACTTCCTTTTGCCCATTTGGCAAGTTGGCGACTTTCCTTTCGGTTGCTTCTACAAAATGTTTTACATATTTGCGCTTCTTGCATGTGCACACAATAAAATTGTGTTGTCATACGAAGGAGGGAAGGGTTTTGGGGAGCTAGCATACGTTCTTGGCATAATATGTAAATTTTGCAGTTGTACGTGGCTTAAATTTTTATCACAATTTCCGAATAACTTGCTAAATGCCAAATGTTAGAATAAAACACCAAAAATGTCGGGAAGGCAATCCCAGATGCTAAGATGGAAAGAGGGCTAACTCTCTAAAAGGATACATGCTTTAAGGTCGCATAAATTAGCTTATCGAGACAGTTTTTGTGCTAGGTACTGGGGAAAGTAAAATGAATTCCCCCAGTAAATCCAATCAATAAACTTGAATAGAATTTGCCGCCCAAAGCACTCAATAGTGTTAGCCAGTCATTACTGTCCAGCGTAATCACATTATTTGTGCAGTGTAGTGCAGCATTTTGGGGGAATTCCCCTTGAACTTTTCGTGAATGTCACGAGCTGGCGGTGCGGTTCGCTCACCTCGACAGCCAGTTTCCCCATTCCCAGTTTCCCAAGCCCCTCATAGTGCCATTACCACCCACTGAACAGTGACAACCATTCCCCCGCGTCAAATATTATTTTAGCCAAACCCCAGAAAGCGGCAAGCGAGTGACTGACAGGCAATAAAAAATGGGAGGCGACACTCGGCCAGGCCACTTCCGGCCGAGCCGGAAATGTTTCTGGACACCGAGAGGGGGATTTGGGGGCGGCGAATGGGTGGTGAGTGGGTGGTGGTCGGGTGGACCGAAGGCCGAAGCCGTGTGCTATGCAAATAATTTAATTAATATTTTATTCGGACACCCGGTCGGGCGGAAGAAAATTGGATTTTTATTTACATTTTTGCACTTACTTGAACCCGCCGGGGATTCTGAATGGGCAAAGGCATTGAATGGGGGAAGAAGTGCACAATAAAACCAGATGCGAACGTAAATTAAATCCCAACCTCTTCGCATATATGTACGTACATGCATACATGCATTCAGACGGATGCGTTGGCATTGGCCTGCAGTCAAAACTGAGAAAATATCGAAAAAAGCTCAGGCGCAATCAACTTACGCTTGTAAACAGTAAACAGTAAACAAATCGGGGCATATATATCAGCAGAGATAGCTCAGACAGTTAGTTGCTCGTAAATCGGTGGGGATTATGTGCGCTAATAAAAGTTTAAGACGCTCGAGAAATATGTATACGTGCAGGCGTTTGAAATCTTTCGCAGATTACGCATACGCCCTGTGCGCCGAGGGCAATTACTGCGTACAGGGCGGAGTAATGATGATGATTAATAGTTGAACTAGCCGCTGAAGGCAGTTCTGCTTTGTGACTTTTGTTGGCCAGAAAGGCCAATGTGTTGCACAACCCCTTTTAATGGTTAGTGCAACACAAATGCTCAGTTCCGTATTAATAAATAACAAAGCATACGTTATCACCTGCTCTCAAAATATTTATCCTTTCTTAATTGGTGTTCTGAATTCCCGGCGTGTCAGTCATAATCAGATTTGACTGTGCTGTCTGTTAACTCTTTTCTCACAGCCGGGCTCTTTGTCGTTTGCCCAGAAGTCATGTGTCTGTTGACACTTCTTGCCAAGGTCAGAGCCGAAATAATAATCATAAAAAATACCCGCACAAGAACATAAAAGGAAACGCTGAGCAAATTCCGGTGACAGTAGATTGCAATAAATAATAAATTGTAGGAGTTAATGCGAGCAATGAGCGCGACGGGCGTCGGGCGACGGGTATTCATCACATGGATGTGGCTATATACCACGGAAGTGTGTCCAATAAGGTTTCGCGTGATCCGCCACATTGTTGAAAATTCGGAGGAAAAGCGCACAGCAGTCGTGAAAAGGGGCAGCTCCTTCGCTGGTTGCACGCACGTCAGTCGTGCCGCTTACTTGTGAGTTGTTCCGAGTTTTTCCCCCCTGCGAGTGGTAGGTGAAAAACCTTTTCTTCTCTCGTTGTTCGCAACTTTTTGCCAGTTCTTAAGTGATTGAATTGAATTGGATTGGATAAATGCGCCCGGGCAAAAACTTTAAGTTTACAACGATTGAAGAAACCGCCGTTGTCGACATTGTACTTGCAAATGAAGAACGGAAAAGTGATTTTTCCCCATTTCCAACATTTCTGGAGCTAATCGCTGGGCGAGCCTTGTGTGAAGTTTTCCAGACAGATTGAAATAGGACTTCCCAGGGCATTATGTAAACATTGTCGGACTTCAAAGTTCGCTGGGAGTTTTAGCGGAAAACTTTGGCCGCAGGCGAGGATGCGGGCTTACGTCTGTAATGGATGCTGTTCAATATTCATGTTCCGCGCTTTCGGCAAATGCAAATCAATACTTCCTAAGCCCGGAAAAGTTTTATTGGGCCAGTAATCAGGTCTGTGGCGGTAGGGTTCTCAGTAGTTTAGGGCGGCTGCTTCCAAGTTGGCAAGGTTTGATAAGAAATTAATGAATAACACTGAGTGAAATGGAAAGGAATGGGGAATTTCAATGGCAGTTTCAGTTTGTCTCGATTTCTTTATTATGCATTATTTGATGCATTGCGGAGCATAATTTTTGCTCAAATACTTAAACAATGCTTCACTCATTATGGGCTTGCATTACACCATATTATATTTGTTTGCGACATTACTTAATCATTTATTCATAACCTTGCGAAAAAAGCAATTACCTGGCATTAATATATATTGATAAAGCAAACATTTTCCAAATTAGATTTACATACACAAAGACGCATAAGCCGCTGCAAGAGCATTTTGATTAAAATTTCAACATTTTCGCCGAGCATTTGTCCACCTGCAAGCGGCGCATCAACTTGTCAAGCTGTCAATATTTGGATACGCAATTATTAACGCATTTTGCGGTGGCAACAGAATAAATGAAACTCTGAAACAGCTCAAAGCAAAGCCAGACACGGCGCACAGTGCGTATTAATAATTATTAGCCATTCAATCGGATGCATAAGTAAAAACACAAACAGCGAGGAATCTGTCATACTCATGTGTGTGTTTAAGCTGTTTACCAATCCATTCCTCTGAACGACCTACTCATATAAATTGTGTTTATTTACGCATATCTGGATCTTAACCCCAGACTTTTTCAAATCGCATAGACAAACACAAAGATTCTTTGAATTCTTATTGCTCAGCCAGAGATTACGGGGTCCAGAAATTCCGGGCAGGTGTCATTGGTCAGGCGCGAACCTCCCACCCATAACCAAATGGCCAGGTGTGGGAAAATAGGAGCTGAACGCCCTCTCTTATCACCGATAAACACCATATGCCAGTGGGAAGTGGGAAATGGGAAGTGGAAAATGGAAAATGGGCTATGCGCTGGCCACTTTTGCTGGAAAAACACCCAGCTGGTCATTTCTGCACTGCACGTCAGCATAATTAACAATATTTTACGGGCTGTAAGATTGCGAGCTACAAATACACAGAGGGAAAATGTGCAGCAATCAGAACAGCCATACGTAAATTTACTGGGTATTCTCCGAAACTTTGGGTAATCGAATAATATCTGAATGTTCAAACAACCTTGATTTAAATGAAACAAATTGCGGGTGGATTTTATACAAATACCGGCAGCTCGTTTCTGCTCAAATACTCTTGGACTATATCTGCAAATTATCCAATAATAACACAGTGAAACAAAGTCGAAACCTTGCTGTTTCGAAAAATATTGTTCATCAACTATATATGTGCCAGCAAAGTGTTCATATACTGACAGACTTCTTGCCAAAGATTTTGCTTGGGATTTTTGCGCTGGGCATAATTTGTTTTATTTTTATGGTCGGATAATTTGCATTTTTAATGCCATTAAAAACTCATAATTGGAAAATAATGGGCCTGAAGAGGCCGGGCCAAAGAGCGGGGAAAATCGAAAGACGTGGGGGAAAACTTTTTGAAAACTTGCACTAATTTCGTTACTCTGTCTCTTTTATCTTTGCCTATTGCAGGGCGGGCGGAAAATGGGAAACTGAGAAGTGGAAGCGATTGTGAATCAAACTGGGCCTGGAGTAAGATGTCAGCAGCGTTAGTACACAAGGCGACGGAAACTCAGCTCGATCAGCCGCCGGAAGTGGGCGTGGCACAGTTGGCAACCATATCGCTGCTACTGCAATACGACATAGACAACACACTGAATGCGCTCAAGGAGCACAAGAAGATGACGCTGGACGCTCGATTGGGCGGCGAGCTGCCCGCCGCAGTCAACAATAACCAGGACAAGGATGTCAACCGGAATCTGTCGGGGCAGACCGAACTGGAGGAGGACCTGGGCCTGAAGGGCAGAGAGACCGCCTTTATGCCTCCCACTCCGCCGGCCACGCCCAACCTGCAGAGCACTGCCCAGAAGCGCTGGAAGATCCTGGCCAAGGTGCTGCGCAAGGACTCCGAGGAGACGGTGTCCTCCTCCAGCGACGAGTTCGCCGAGGAGCAAACTGCATCCGTGCGGCGCTTCAAGAGCTTCGACCTGCTGCGTCAGGACAGCTTCGAGGACCACGTGAGTCTGAAGTGCCTGGGCAAGACGGAGAACTGGTACAAGTACCGCATGCAGCTGGAGAACGAGTCGGAGTACTCGGTGAACATCCACCACATGGAGCGCCAGCTGACCGCCACTGATCTGATGGGCTTCAATAACACGGGCAACATATGCGTTTGGCCCTCGGAGGAGGCCTTGACCGCGCTGGTTCTCTCGGAGGTGGCTTCATATCGAGGCAAGTGGATCCTGGAACTGGGCGGCGGATTCACCTCGCTGGCTGGCCTCATGCTGGCCAAATATGCCACTCCGTATGCCGTTCACCTGACCGACGGCAATGAGATATCGGTGGAGAACGTGAGGAAAACCGTTTGCCTCAATGAGCTGAGCTGCTACACCAAGTGCTCGGTTCTGAAGTGGCAGGAGAAGTGCGCCCGCTCCCAGGCAGAGCAGGCCAAGTTCGACTTCATCCTCTGCGCCGACTGCCTGTTCTTCGACGAGGCCCGATCCGCCCTAGTGGACACCATCTGGTACTACCTGGCGCCCGAGGGATCGGCCCTGATCATGGCTCCTCGTCGCGGGCGCACTCTGAGCGTTTTCCAGGACGAGTGTGTGGCCAGGGGCTTCCGCGTGGAGTTGGCCACCCGCTATAACGAGACCATCTGGCAGCGGCACCTCCAGCTGAAGGCCGACTCCGCCCTCTACGACGAGGACCTCCACTACCCTTTGCTCCTGCGGCTGTGCAAGAGCCACAGCTAGGAGAAAAGCGAAGGGGCTAGGACTTAATGGGCAGCCACTTGGCTGCAGTAGGTGCAATTAAACTTAGTCAATGTTTTAGTTGATAAAAAGCAAATTCCAGTTTACACCTTAAACAAAGAAGAGGCCCACAGCGGGGTGGAAATTAGCCCGCTGCTCTCAAAGGACAACAAGAAATTCCTCCCACACTGAATTAAATGTAGCAAGTCAAACTCGTTAGACTGGTGCTAGAAGCCCACGGAAAAAGTATGGAAAATTATGAATATATACGGTTAAATGAACACAATTACCTTCACGTAGAACTCGGTGGACACTCAAATGTTATGATATTCAGTTGGTTTTCCATTTTAATTTGTGTTTGCGAAAGTAAAGTAAATTAATCAACGTAAAATGAATAATTCTTAATTACTGAAATATGTTTTCGCCCGCGAGGGGCTTGCGAGTCCCTTGTTCGTTTGAAAGTCCTCTTGGGACTTCTGCAACCATATCTAAAATACTCAAAGTGAGTTTGAATGCAATGCTACATATTCACCGCTTTAAAGCACCAGTCTAGTGATCACCTTTAGCTCGTAGTTCACTGTTAAGTTGTGTAACTGTAACAAAAAATTCCTTTGATATGTTAATTTGATTTCCGCTTATTCCACAAGTTTGTAACGTTTTTTTTACAAATACTCCTCGTTATGTATATGTAGTTACCTCTATGTGCGTTACACGCCCTCCACCCACCACCCACACCCACACACACACACAAGTATTATTTAAATTTAACGTGTACGCTGAATAGCATACTTTTCGGCTGCTTTCGTAGAAGGGCAGAGAGCTCCCCAACTGAAAAAGGAAAAAGGAAAACGGAAAACGGAACACGGGTTTCCCGGAAGCCGCACACAAAGCAGCAGCGCTCGACCAATTAATTAATAGTTAACTAAACTTAGTGTACTGTAATTACCTAGAGCATGTGCTAATGGTTATATGATGATGATGAGATAAATACAGTATCGAAATGCCACATATGCGCCCTGTTTTACTGCCTCGAAAGGGCCTGGCGATGGCGCAGAGCAGTGATGTCAATGGCAAACGTCATGCGCAAACATATTGTCCGAGTTATGAGCTAGCTGCTCATTAAAACGCCGATGTGGGTTGGGATCGAGGCGGCAATCAGGCGCTTTTTTATTGCGATTGCGACAGTAGCTAGGCAATTACTGGAACTGTGTAGGGGTCCAGAAACTAGGAGACCGCGTCAGCAAAGAGGCGCAATGGCGTAATGTTACCGATGGAAAGGGGTGAATTCACAGCCTGAGCGGAAGGCAGAATAGTCTCGGATAAATAGCAGCTAAAATGTAATTAGAGTACCTAATAACTACTGTTACAGGGCAGCCTGAAGTCGATCCGACCCAAGGAAACGACCCGAATTGGGTTGCGCGACAGCTGACAAAAAATCAAAAGTACAAATAAAATAAATCTGATAAGCGGAAATTACAAAGCAAACTCAACAGCATGGCGAGCGCACACAAAGTTGCGTTTTAGCTCCTGACGATGGTGTGAGTGCGAGTCCTTTTGTGCGTGTGTGGCAGTGTGTGCTCGTCATTAACGAGGTCATTGGTAAGTAAGCTTGTTTGATGTGACCCAGACATGTAATCCGGGCAGCGGGGCAAACAAACGAAGTCGGACAGAAATCGGAAATCGGGCGACACCAGTGCTGCCAAAAAGGGCAGTCCACAACATTGCGAGGAAATCAGAAGAGTGGCCAACTTAAATGCCAAATATATTTGAGATTGGCTTTACAGGCGTATAAAGGTGCCCGTTACGACGCACTCCCCCAATAAAACCAGAACTGTCAGTACTACCTTACTTTTAGGTATATATACCAAACAGCTTTCGTAGCACATTGCTATGAATTAACTGATAAGCAGCACGAGAAACGGTTTCCGGATAAAATGTGCCTTTCAGGAAGTGCAAATATACCCGAATAAGGTCAAAAGGGCAGCCCGAATGGCGTTGCGCATACGCCGCGTGTGTCACGCGCTGGCATGTAAAATTCAGCGGCCTGCGCGCTTCCCGTCCTGCCAGCTGAAGACTCCTAATGACATGAGCCCCATGCCAAGCAAAAGCCAGAATGGATCTGAGAACGGGTCTTGGACTCGGCGGCGGTATGCAAATCAGTTTACTGCGGCGACGACAATGACAATGATGGCCGCCACTCAATTATGCGCCGCGCAGGAACGACTTTCGCTGCCTACTTTCAGGCGCACGATAAAAAACGGAAGACGAAAAACGTGTGAGGAAAACGCTTTCGATTTTCGGATACCCATTTTCCCCAGGGGGCTGCAGATTAACTTATTTTATGCGAAACACATTTCAATTTGGGCCCCAAAATCCCTTTTCTGGTGCCTCTGTGAAACCCTTTGCCCATGGGAAACACGTCAAGGGATTTAACGTGGCCAACAGGTGTTCCAATTGCTGGGCTTCGTGTCGGTGGTATATTTAGATCGCAGAGCCTCATTAAATTTTTAATTAACGGAATTAGTGGAATGTGTGTTGCCAAGTGCGCACGAATGTCGAGAGATTCCGACTCCGGCTCCTGAGATGGACTCGAGGCATTCCTGTGGTTTTGGGGCGTTCCGTTTTATTATTAATGTCCGGTAAGTATACTCCTGGAATACCTCTTCGTGTTCCCTAGGGAAGCATGACGTTACAGGTGCCTAGGACCTCGTTATATAGGACCAAGCTCTACTCGAAACCCTGGCCTTGACATCCCAAAAATAGACGTACTGGTTTTATGTCACAGCGCATATATTAACCTCTCTAATTATAATTCATGATAATTATCATGCTAATGGGTGGACAGGGATCAAAGGTCCTACATATATTACAGGAAATTATCATGCGTGTCACGGGGTTAGAACCTTTTACGAAGCGGAGCCGATGGAAATTATGCCATATAAAATGGTTGAGCTTATCATGGGCTAGAGCTTAAGCGATAAGCAGCAAATTACCTCTAATAAAGATGTTGATTTATTCGGAGGACAAAGGAAAGTAAGATAAAATACTTCAATACTTCAATACTTCAATTTTACGTAAAAGTTACCATAACAGTAACACTTGAATGGCGTTTCAGCCACTTTATTGAGTAGTAAACTACTGCTTTTAGGGCATATATAGATTTATTTACAGAATCAATCTCAACCTTACTAAATACCGACCTAGATAGTCCCAAATAGAGAGCTTTAAAGGTTGGTGCTCCGTTCAATTCAACAAAAGACCTCAATTATGCAACGAGTGCCAACAATTAATTATATATTTTCATTATGCCACTCGTTGCGTACCACGGTTTTCATTTATTTTGTCGCATCTTTTGTGGCAGAGAAACTTTTTGTTCAAGCTTATAATTGACTGCGCTCGGCACAAAGTATCTGGCAAATTATTTATGAAAATGCTGCCTGGTCCGCTATAGAAACCTAATAACAATAATATTGCTGATTAAGCATTAATCAAAGTCGGCAGCTGGGCAAAGCAACAACAACGATGCCAAACTAAAGCCACGAGACAATGGGCCACTTTGGAAGTCGGAGAAAAGGGAAAGTGATGATCTCGGTTCAATGAAATTTATGGAACCCGGCCGCCTTAATTATAGAAAAAGCTTGGCCCAATATATGGATTTTAGATTTAGCCTTTTGGTAACAAAGGAAAGCACAGCAGCAAAACTGGCTGTTTGTCAACTGATAAGCGGCCGCTGATAAGGAAAAAGCCATTTCCACATTTTCCATCTCTCAGAGGAGAGAGCGCCATTGAGCGAAAAGCTCTGGCGAAAGCTTTTCTTTTCGGCCTTGGCATTGGTTCGCTTCGGCTTCGTTTACGGCCAACAGCTGATCCGAGTTGGCCAGATGCTAAGCTGTCTTGGCCCGCTGATTCAGTTGTGCCGCACAGGTTCAAGCGAGCGGTTCGTGTGTCGTAACGTTCGGAAACCACAACTGCAAACGCTGCGGCTATCGGACTATTTATGATTTTTTGTGCTGTGACAAAAGCGATTTATTTGCGGACAAAAGTGGTTTCTTGAAATCAGCTGGTATTGTTCTGAGGGATAAAAATAAAAAAGAAAAATAAATAAAGTATCTAAACTCAAACATTTGGGTGCCCTGGCAACACTTGCATTTTCCCTCACGACCAACCACCCAATAACTCCCGGCTGACACACATTTGATGAGAACAAACAGCAAACTTAGAAAAATCAACCGAAAATAATGTCAACGAAATCAATGGCAGCCCACGGCAGCTGCAACATGTTGCTGCTGTGTCTTCTGCTCCTGCTGCCGTCCGTCTCCCCCGTCCGCTTGCCCAAAAGCAGCAGCAACAATGCAACAGCAGCAACCACAGCAGCAACCGCATCAACCGCAACAGCAGCAACTGCAGCAATCCGCAATGCCAATGCCAATGCCAAGGCTGGTAGCAAATATGGTGAGTCCTATGAGCCGAGGAATACATTCAGACAATCGCAGGGCCAGTTGAAGTTGCAGCTTCTAAAAGTGGTTGCAGGCATGTCAGGCACACAGAAAAAAACCTAAGCAACCCTTCTTCATTCTTGTAAAATACTAGTTTGGATATGTAGCCGCAGGCAAATAAGGTTGGTTGGTTTCTCAAATCCCTCACTAATATTGCTTGCGAACTGCGTCTGAGGTGAAAAGATATATAGAAACATAGACCTTTTTCCAAGTACTCTTTTAAGTTGTAACTGGAACGAATATTGTTTAGCGTGCATATTTTCTGTTTGCCTATTCTTGTCGAATGTTGGCTAATTGCACTTGGTCACGATCAAGCGCTTTTTCCCTGAACCTAGTTAGGTTCCTTGTGGTATTTTCCCTACGCCTGCCCTTGGTGGCGAACGAAAGACTCAGACAACGAACTTGCCCGGCGGCCAGCTTTTTCTTCACCGTGTGCCAATCATGTGGGCACGCGGGAAATGTGTCGACATTTCCTTTTGGCCGCTAAATGAGGGCGGCCAGCACGCCCAGAACCGCAGAGCGGAAATTGCAAAGAGATTTTCAATGGAGAGCAAAAGTGTCATTAGGCTGGGACATGCCAGTAATTGTTGGCCACAAAACACACGTTTCGGCCGTTCTGTCTCTAATCGAATTAGCTAAAGCGCTGCAATTACCCCACCATACGGTGACAGATCAAGATTGATCTGGCCAGATGATAGAAGGCAATTTGCCCGACGATCTTTTATTACAGAACTTCCCGCTGGCTGTGGCCAATGGCAAGTTAATGAATCTGAGGTCTGTTCTCTTCGACACTTCCACTTCCTGGCTTGCATAACACTGCAGCGACAACTTACGAAAATATGGCCTAACCGAAAATTTGTGCACCGTCATAGATAGAATTCCCAAGATCGGAGAGTACCATTAATCATTGCGATGCTGCAATTGAAGTGTCTGTCATTTCTTCGTGGCATTTTTATTAATTCTCTGCTGGATTTTGGCTCAGCAATGGCATCTAGCCATAGCCCCGATTTCAGAATTTGTGCCATCGAAGACTTTTCACTTTTCCAAGTTCTCTGTGCGAAATTCGCCTAAAAATGCTGCCGCTACCATGCACAGCCACACACAAAATCGGTGTCAATGATTTCAACATGGGAAAAGCATGGAAAAGCCAGCCACCCCAAGCTGCAACAACGCAACAACTGCAACATTGGCAACACAGCAACATGGCAAACACAAACAAGCTAGCTTCGGCAACTGGCATTTCTA